TGGATTCACCTGAAGGGCAAGTAGTGGGGAATGGCTGGGGTGCTGACAACACAGCAGACAGTAGCTGGGATATCAGAGTATAAGGGCTCTAGTGGGGGGAGGGAGGCTATGGGAGGGTGCCATCTGGGAAGTGGGAGTACAGTTGAATAAGATGGTTTGGGATGTTCTGTGTGATACAACACACGCACATACACAAAATCAACAAATTTAAAAAAATGTATTATATTTGAGGAGGAAGCATGGAAATTCACATCATGCTAATTAGTAGAGGTGATAAACATTACCATTGAAATCTACCCAATGACTTTATAGACATACACACGTGCCAAGGATCAAAGTACAACCGATTATGACTAGTAATAATCAGATACATACAGATTAGAGATGCATGCGCCAACATCTCAGTGTTAGTAGCAAAAACAATGAGTCTTTCTGCAAGGAACAATATATTGTAAAATGAAATTGATATCTTTTTTAAAGGTTAAAAACTCATTCAATTTTATGTCTTACAGGGCTTATACTTAGTTCAATATTGTATAGTTGTATTAATTCAACTGTGAACCTAGAAACTTGCACCTACTTGTGAAAGAGATGTACTCTTGCTCTGGAGTGTGTCACTGAATATGTTAAAGCTGTAGTGAAATGCTCCTTCTAATCATGTAGTTATTAAAATTTTTTAAAAATAATGACTGAAAAATAACAATTCTTCAAAGCATAAAAATTTGCCTTAGTAATTAGTAGATGGGAAAACCATTACCACTGAAATCTACCTGATGACTTTATATTCATGCTCAGATGCCAAGGAGCTCAGAAAGCAACTGACTGTGACTAGTAATAATCAGATATATAGCGATTAGAAATGCATGTGCAAACATCTTAATGTCAGTTGCATTAAAAATGAATTTTCCTGTAAAAAAAAAAAGAGTCTGCAGAGTGTGGGACCTTCAACAGGAATCTTATATTGAACTCTACCCACCCAGGGCTCAGGAACAATTGCAGAAGAGCGGGCTGGAAGATAGTAAGAGCCAGGGAGGAAGTGCATGATCATATGGAAATAGACTCCTACAAGGTTCTGGGACCCTTCTCATATCAACCTACAGCAATGGTGTCAGTATGCACAAGAACCATTTAAACTCAAGCAGACAAGACCCCAGCACAGAACTGTGGAAATATTCAACAAGCTCCAATCTTAGTCAAAGAATTATTGGCAGCTGATTACTGCTGGGTGAAGAAGAGCTCCTCTTAAAAGGAAGGGACTTTAGATAGGCTGCCTAGACTCCAGTGGATGAACTTGCACTGAGCCACATCTGGGGACACTACCTTGACATGGTAGGCTTAACACAAAAGATAGAATGTATGAATTCCAGTGTGTTGAGCAGGTTATGGGAGGGTGCCAGTGGGGAAGGGGGTATAAAGATAATTAAGATTAAGATATTTTGTGTGAAATACATAAAAATTCAATAAAAAATTTACAGATAAAAAGAGGAAAGGCATCCAATAAAAGTCAACATCCCTTTATGATAAAAATGCTAAACAATTACACATGTAATACACATACCTCCATCTCAAAAAGGGTATTTATAATAAAAGGTCTCATATAGTGTTATACTTGCAAGAGAAGGCGTCCTCATTTCTGAGAGGCCCATGGCGCCTATCCCCACTGTTACTATTTACTATATATAGGACTGGTAGGAGGTCTTAGCAAGGGAGGTTAGGCATGAGAAAGAAGAAAGGGACATCTGAATTAGAAAGGAAGAAGTTAAATTACCCATATTTATAGATATGATTTTATATGTAGAATTGAAATACTCCCCACAAACTCTGTTAGGATATATGACCTCATTAAGAAAACAGAGCAAGTCACCTTGTGACCAGGAAAAGGCCAGGCCTTCCCGTACATACCATGTGTGCTTCCCCTGGTGGGTAGACGCTCAGTGGAGGCATCCTCTTCTGAAGAGGTATCAGGGGTGGTCTCTCTCTGATATACGGTTCCCTGTGTATTTTTCTCTGTAGTACCAGGGACAGGAAAATGGCCAACAGGATTAGGCCCAGCACAGCCATTAGCACAATGAACCACAGCTCGCTGTACAACTCCGTGCCTTTGTTCCCCACTGCCGTGGTTTCTCCAGGACTTGTCAGCACCAGTTCTAAAGAACCCAGAGAAAGAAAAAACTTATTTCAGAAGGCGTTTGGGGGTCTGTGGTGTGACTACTGAGAGTGACTCATGCCTTCTCCTGAGCAATGGGCTGTCAGAAGGGTTTCCGCTGCAGAGCCACATACATTGCCAGTGCTGTGGGTGTCCACGGCCCCCTGACCTTGGGCAATAGCTGTACTCCTGAGGAGTTCTGTGCAAACTGAATCTAGAGGAGGTATCCCTTCTGATTTTCAATTGTGAATTAACAGCCAGTCCTTCTCATGGTCTTCCCATGTCCTGTCTCTTGGCCTCTGAAATAGCAAAAGCTCTCCAAATCAACTCAGACATACTGTGAGAGCATCGAATGGAGAGAAATCCTTATCAGGGGGAGCACTTTTTTTGTTTGCTGCTCCTGTATTCAAAGTCAACACTATTTTCTCAAGATCAAAGTTCCCATTCAATGAGTGCTCCAGTTTGGATGTGGGTTGTGGTCCAGAGGCTCGGGTGCTGGATGCTTGGTCCCTGGGGCAACAGTATCCAGAGATGGACTACTGAGAGGTGACTGGATCATGTAGGCTCTTGCTCCATCAATGGACTAGGCCATGGATGAGCTCATGGCTTAGTGGGCTGAGAGGTGACGCTTAGTTGAAGGAAGGTCACTGGGGGCATGACCTCTGCCCCAAGACCATTTGTCTCTGCTTCCTGGTTGTCATGAGGTGAGCTGTTCTGCTCCATCCTATTTGAACCTACAATGTTCCATGTCAGACCCAGAGACAGTAGGTCCAAGTGACCATGGACCCAAAACTCTGAGACCAGGAGCCGGAACCAACCGTCCCTCCTTTACCTTGCATGATGAGCCAGGGCATACGGAAGAAAGGGTTACGGGCGGGGTTGGTATGGGGCAGTATGATGCAGTGGAATCATGCCACCAGACTGGCTAACAGCAGGAGGGCATCAATTTCTGCTTGTTAGGGTCAGCTCAGAAACCCAGGGAGGTAATACAACTGTCACCTGGGCTGGCCTGGAGCGAAGAGCCAAGGCCATGCCTACTGAAAGGCCACACTATGGAGAGGCAGAAGACAAGAAGAAAGCACTGAAAATGCCCGCTCGTTTGGCATCATTCCAGATTTTCAGCACCTCAGGGATGGCGGGAGGGGCACATGCCAGGACCATGAATTTACATCCTTGGGGAGGCTTAGAGGGATGAGGTCAGAATTGGAGGAAGAGGCAGTGAGTGAAATTAGCTTAAAGTGTGACAGGAGGAATATTCCTTTGCTAACCTAACTTTACTTCTGATCAGCAGCATGGTCTGAAAGTCACTGATGCCCTTAGTCTCTGCTTCCTTGTCTCTGAGAAAGATCTGGTGCTGCCATCCAGCCCCAGCAGGTTCGAAGCCCTTCACCATAGGCACTAGTGTGTGCTGTTTGAAACAGATGAACTTTGGTTAAGCAGAAGAAGGGCTAAGTTCCTGCATGTGTGGCACAGGGTGGGACTTCAGAGGCCGATCTGATGAGCTCCAAGGGTCCCTTGTTCAGCAACGCATGGGAAATGGAGGGCAGATGCCTCAGGGAAACTTCAGCAGGACACCTTGCTCAGTCAGAAGGAGGCCAGGTCTCTGTGTCTCTCCTGCTTGGAGGCTGCCTTCAGGCAGCAACAGGAATGCTTCGGAAGTTATATCACAAAAATTAAAACCGATGGCAGATATCAGTTGAGCAGCACACCTTGGAACTGGCATGGCCCTCAGAAGTTTTTCCCTCTGCTCTGCCCAGAGCCCAGTCTCCACGTATGAGGGCCTGCTCAGTGCTCAGCAGTGAGAACCTCTGATTGTGTTTAAGAACTGACCGGAGATTGCTGCCTTTTAGAGAGCTCAAGGTGGGCCACTGTTGGTTTATCATTTTCTTCTTTTCAGACCTCGCTTTGCATATCAAGTAAGAGTCGTAGTCAGAGGACAGAACTCCAGGGGGTGGGGCTCAACTAGGAGAAACCTGATCTGTAACTGGTGTCAAATTAAGTCCCTCCCTGGTGACTGATGTGGAGTATGGGATTGGTCAACATGTGGTCCTGAGCCCTAGGGTCAGAATTACTGGACTGGGACTTATACTAGTTTGATGTTGCATTAATTACTAGAAAATAAAACTATCAGTCTCAAATTGGTTCTAGTGAGAAAGAATTGGCATTTCTCTAACTTATCCTTTAAAACTGTAAAGTATTCTATATATTAGAATCAAAGAGTCAAAGATCATGGGTAGAACACAGTTTAAAAGATGTTCCTTAAAAATCACAACTCTGGGTGCTGGGAAGATAGGTCAATGGTTAAGAGCAGTGGCTGTTCTTCCAGAGGACCTGGGTTTGGATCCGAGCATCCACCTGGTACCTAACGTCCTCTCATAACCCCAGTTCCAGGGGATCTGATGCCCTCTTTTGGCCTTCTTAGGTATTGCATGCACATAGTGCACTTATGTATACACAGTAAAAAAAAAAAACCCAAAAAAAACAAAAATAAAAACAAAACATAAACTAAAATACTTAAAATAATTTTAAAATTAAAATTTTACATCCAGCTAAATCACTTGGCATTAATCATGAGATATCATTTTTTGTATGTATGTGCACTAGTGTGTGTGTGCATGAGTGCACACACACACATCCCACGACGTACATATGGAGGTCAGAAGACAACCTTGGGTGTAGGCCCTTGCCTTCCACCTTGTTTGAGACAGGGTCTCTCTTTTATTGTTTGCTGTCTGTGGCCAGGTGGCTGGTTGTAAGAGTCTAGGGATCCTCCTGCCTCTGCCCCCGCCCCCCATTTTGCCACAGAAGCCCAGGGACTATGGACCCTGCTATAGACCACAAGTTTACATGGGTTCAGGGGACTTGAACTCAGGTCCTCATGCATGTGTGACAAGTGCCTTAGTCACCCTATTTCCCCAGCTCTTAAGTCATTATGTCTTCTGATGGATACAGACAGAAGTTTTTCCAAATTCACCAAATTTAGGCTCTGAATCGAGAACATTATCACTAAGCTCAACAGGGGCCTCCTGGGCTCTCATCGCCCCCAGGCTTTCTCCGTTTCCTTTCTGTATACAAAGTCATAAAGTTCTTTAGGTAGAATATTGAGTCAGAAGAGAAAGTGTGGTCAGGTGTCTGATGTTTTCCGAGCTGACAAGTCAATGAATTGTGAAAGCAATCCTGACTCCTTGCTTAATGTAAATTCCATGAGGATTTGTAAAGGTTTTTCTTATAACACAACACAGTTCCTCCCACAGTCTACACTGTTGTAACAGAATATATATAGTCTGTGCCTGTTTCTTGAGGAAATTAGGTAGATGCTATACTAAACACAAGGGTAAAATGTTTACCCAGTCCAGTAGCTGTATCATATTGGACGAATGGAGTCTTAACACTTCCGACATCTGTAGTGCATGTGACCTGGAAAAGGAGAGCTGGACAAGAGACAGAACTGGTAAATCACTCGTCACTTAATACCCAACAGTGGCATATTTCTGAAAGAGCAGAGACAAACACAAAAACTATATTCCAGAGTGAACTGTGAGGCTTCATCTACTGTTACACATGATGGTCAGTTTTAACTGACAACCTGACACAGCCTGGAGTCACCTGGGAAGAGTGTCTCACAGAGGACTGTCTAGATCAAGTTGGCCTGTGGGCATGACCTAAGGGACTGTCTTGATTGTCTTAAATGATGTGAGAAGACCCAGCCTGAAATCAGACAGCCTCAGGTGTTGGGCCCTGGATGGTGAGTACTAAGCACACCTGTGTTTATTTCCCTATGTTCTTGACTGTGGATGTGCTGTGACAAGTTGCTTCAAGTTCCCCCTGCCTTGACTTTTCCATAATGATGGACTTGCCCTGGAGCTGTGAGCTAAAATAAACTCCTTCTCCCCTAAGCTGCTATTTGTCAGAATGTTTTATCACAGCAACAGAAGTGAAACTAAGACATTGTAGTTTCAATGCTAACTGCTCCCCAACGGAATCGTGTATTAAAGCTTGGTGCCTAGAATGATACCATTGGGAGGAGGGGGGAGCCTTGAGGAGACTCCACCCCACGCCCTTGCTGTGATGTGCTACCACACCACAGGCCCAAACCATGGGCTGACAGATCACAAACGGGAGCCATTAATGAGCCAGAATAAACCTTTTCTCTTTATAGAGTTGACTGTCTCAGGCATTTGTCATAGTGATGAAAAGCTGACTAATATGTAATATGCAAACTCCCTTCTAATTCAACGGTTATTCAACAAAAGAGCTCTAGTGTTATAACAGCATATCTATAAGGAATAGAGCTAAAGGAGAGCAGAGCTCCTACTGCAAAGCAGGATTGCCAGAGGACTCAGGGACAGAGGACTAGTGTATTTTGCTCTGCCTTTGGTCTAAACTTGTTTCCTTAAAGCTTTCAGGAGTAAGTGCCACCAGTGACTCGGAGTTTCTTCTTTTTGGGAATCACGTGTTCTAAAGTCCTCTTTCTGTAGCCAGGATCCTGTGACTCTTGCAAAGTCACACAGATGGTCAGAGGCCCGCTCAGGTAGAACCCAGATCCGCCAACTGTCAAGCCATCTTCCTTTTATAGCAAGCTGCCCAGGTGACCAGCAAGTGTGACTGTAAATCTGTGCAGCTCACTCGGTTAAACTAGGAAGTTTCAAGTACTATAAATGCAAACTGGAGCTCACCTGTCAGTCAAAACAGTCCTTCCAAGTAAAACCAAAAGCGCTTCTGAATTAATTTATTGTATAAATCTAACTACTTACAATGACTCTATATCCACTGGTCCTGTGACAATGCGGTTACTTGAAAATCTTTAACACCCCTTAAAGCATTTATCATTTTAATTTAAAATAAAGACAAAGAAATAGGACTCGTCGTATCTAGAGAGGGAAATGGGATGCAGGCTTACAGGGAAAAGGGAGGTTCTTTTAGAGAGAGGTGAGCGATAGTTCCATGCAATCCCTTACTCTTGGCTTCCTAAGAGGAGACCATGGTCACTGGCTGTTCTGGTTCCTATTCTGTTGCTGTGATAAACACCATGACCAGACACAACTTGGGGAGGGAAGGGTTTGTTTGGTTTACACTTCCAGGTGACAGTCCATTGAGGGAAGTCAGGGCAGGAACTCAGAAACTACCAACATCAGCTACTGGCTCCCTCTCCTTGGCTCGCTCAGATGGCTTTCTTATACAGCCCAGACCCAATGCCTTAGGGATGGCACCACCCACAGTGGTCTGAGCCCTCCTATATCCCCCAAGAATCAAGAAAATGCCCTACAGACATGCCTGAAGGCCAGTCTGGTTGAGGAAATTCTTCAATTGAGTGTCCCTCTTCCCAGGTGACTCTAGTGTGTGCCAAGTTGATGCTAAAAACTAACCAGCACAGTGATACTACTGTTTGGAAGTCAGGATACAGTAAAACAAAACAAAACAAACCCCACAAGTCTTCACAGTGCTCGCTGGTTAAGCCTGGTGATGTCTGTCTTGAGAACTCAACCCGCCCTCTGTCTTGTGTCTTCCTGTAGACATTCAAGTGGCTGTGAATAGCACCTTCCCGGAGCTACATCACTACATCATAACCAGAATGTGTCCAGTAACACACAGGAAGGAGAACATTGTTTATTTTGAGCTGTAACTTTTCTATAAGTGGACACTTAAAGTTTTGATGACCAGCCTCTGCAGGTCACCTTGCTTTCTGGGGAACAGCAAGACATGGGTGAGACACTGACTTTTATCCACTGTCCTCGGTATGTAGAGGGCAGTGTCCAGGCCGCTGTATACACACTGTCCTCTATCAGTGACCACGTATTCCTTCAGCTGGCCATTCAGGAGGAAAGTGTCGCTCCAGTCTATATACACCGTGGATATGTTGCTGTCCACAGAAAATGGAGCTTAGTACTGAGGTGCTGTGGGGAGGAAATTTTGGGTTCTGGAAATGGTAGTCTCTGGGATGAAGTTAGAGAACTGTGAATGACTGTAAAACAAAGCCAGCCAACCAGCCAACCAAACAAAAACAACTCTGGGCATCGTGGAAATCTATTAAAAAGAAGTACCAAGCTCGTGTTGAGCATGAAAAGAAGGCCTGTGAAAACAGGTGTAAAACACAGCTTCAAACCTGCTTCAAAAAACTACAGAGAGCAAGTGCTATTTTATAAATTACAGTATTAACATATGATGGATTTGCTGGCATGGTAACCCCAGGGCTCAGATCTGCCACATTTTCCCTCTTTTAACAGGTAAAGTGTCCTTAATACTATTAACTACACTAGATAACTATTTTTCATATCAAATCAGTATTTATTGCTATGAAGCCCCAAGGACTAGAAGTACACACACGTACACACACACATTCACCCCTCCCCTAAACTGCTTAGATGGCGAATTATATCCTTTTGGCACCCATTTATTTTTAAAGCTTTTTTCTGGAACTTTTAGTTTGTTTTCTGAGATAGTTAAAAAGCCTAGCAAATGGCAGTTTGAGCATTGTAATTCATTACCCTGACTAGTCAGTCAGTGGCAGGATACATTAGCATAGAGTCAGGCTCAGGTCACCCAGGTATAACATCAGATCTAGAAGCAACTTAATGCATTTTGCGGGAATGTCTTCAATTTTCAACTCCTTACTAAAACAAAACAAAGCAGAAATCCTTGACTAGGGCTCATGTCCAAAATTGATAATTTTTGAAGAAAACAAATGAATGAATTATCCTGTCAGAGTAGAAGAGGTTTACTTCATGAGACCTTGTTTTTCTCGAAAACAATCAATATATCTGTAAAAGCATTAAGATTTGTGTATATACTCAATTGGCTCTTAAGAAAGGAGGGGTATGAATAAATCAGGTGATAGTTATTTTTTTTAAAGCATCCATCCATGTGTGTGGCTGATGTTGGGAAACAGAACACAGTGAGGAATACTTAATCACCTTTCTGAAAGCTCATAATGAGAACCGAAAGACATATGTGAAGCATATCTTTCAAAGTAGCAGACCTACACACGAAGCCATAAGAAAAAATTTCAGCAAAGACCCAAACTCATCAAGTCTTCTTTGAATACCTGTGTTTCCAACCCTAATCCTGCCTTGTTTCAGAATACACTGTTAACGTTTATCTGAGGCACCCCTCTGCCATTTTAGTTCAATTGCCACTTCTCCCTGCATCTTAACAGTATAAGAAAGACAGAACTTGCAGATTATGAAAAAATCAGTGGGCGTCTCCTCTTGTAGGATCTTTCCTGGAAAAGAACAAGTAACCAAAATCATAAAGACTTGCATGCTTGTGTAACTGTTATAGAGGAAAGAAAGAAAATGGGAAGAGCTGCTATACCCTTAGTGCTTCATGTACCTGACCTTATTTAACTCTCAAAACCTTTCAGAGAGGTCAGCTCCTGGGGCTGGAGAGATGGCTCAGCAGTCAGGTGCACATACTGCTCTTCCAGAGGCCCCATTGGGTTCCCAGCACCCATGTCTGATGGCTTATAACCACCTGTAACTCCAGCTTCAGGAAATCTAATGTCCTATTTTGGCCTTTTTGGGTACCCATACACCCATGATAGACATACACAGACACACAAATTTAAAACAAATCGAGATGGGGGTGGGGGAGAGAGAGAGAGAGAGAGAGAGAGAGAGAGAGAGAGAGAGAGAGAATGTTTCCTAATTTTTCAGGTGAGGAAAGTAAAGGCTGTGGCCAAGAATCTTGCCCAATATGAAGCCAGAAAGACATCAAGGACCTGAACCTAGACCTGCTGGATTCCAAAGCCATGCTTCTTTCTGACAATCAGTACATGTCTGTTTAAAGGGACAGGATCTGCTACTTTTGGGTGCTCTCCAGGGGTACATTGAAACTGGCTCATCTTGACTGTTAGCTAATCAGGAATTTTGTGCTTGTCCTAAAACATAGCCGTTATTCAAAATTAAGTTCTACACATTAATCATATATAAAAAGGCAAAAAATGCTAAAATTCTTAGCATTGCAATTATTCATTACATATTACTATCATCTTCCCACCCAGGCTTCTCTGCTCCTACTGTGGTGCAATGATAGACATGTCTTAGTGAATGTCACCTTGGGATTCTAGAGCATAGTCCAGAGCCTTTAATATAGTTGGTAAAGAGCTTTTAAGTGACAAAGTTTTTAAATGACAGTGAGGATACAAATAAAATAATGACAAGTATAATAAGCAAAGTATGGAGACTTTAGTTATCCTGTGATTTCAGCCACACAATGAAAATTTTACAAGAAGAAAGGAATTGATCAAGTCAAATCATTGATAGCTGTTGTGTCAGGGTGGTAGGATTTTATAGGCAGGACTTATGTCATGTTCATGTGACCCTGTGGATGCATAGGTCTCTCCCACAGAAGAGTCCTGAACTTAATCTTGGTACGGTGCTGTTGCTTTCTTGGCATTCTTAGTGACCTTTGAACCAGGAAACCCATATTTTCATTTGTTACTGGGTCCCACAGATTATGTTGTTGATTCTAATAAGTAATACTGTTTTGTAATTCTCACTTGTATGTGTGAGCGTGTTCTTGTGTGTGTGGACATATCTGTTTGCACATGTGTGCGTGCCTGCATGGAAGTCAAAGGTCAACCTGGAGAGTCTATCACAGGCTCCATCCACCTTCTCTTCAAGAAAAAGACTCAGTGGCCTGGAACATGCCACAGGTTGGCCAGTGAGCCCCGAGAACAAGCATCTCCCCAGGGCTGGGATTCCGAGTGTGTGGCACCTTATCCAGCTTTATAATGTGGGTTCTGGGTATCCACGGCAAGCACTTCACCAACAGTTACCACCTCAGCTCTAATCCTCATTTTTAAACAGTGTGTCTATATAGTTTATAAAACCTGGAAAGCAGCTATTTGTAAAAATGTAACGAACCGATCAGGCAGTGTCCATTTCTGCACACAGTGGCTCTTTCGCTCTTTCAGACAGCGGGGTCTCACTGCTGTCTGGGAACATGATGGGCTATCACTGCAATGCGAATGGCACAGGAGGGAAAACTTCGCTTAGGAGTGGTCTTAGCCAGGCATGGTGTAGCAGGCCTATAATCCCAGCACTCAAGGGGCTGGGAGAACTGCCATCAGTTTGAGACCAGCCTGGGCTACAGAGACCCTACTTCAAACACAAGAAGTCAAACCAACCAATCAAGCAAGCAAACGAAGAGGGCGTGGCCACTTTCTGTCTTCCCATTGGTTAACTTCTAGTCTGCTTTTTAACCCATTGGTTTCCAAACACGAAAAAGCTTCCTGGGTTTGCCTGGACCTTTACACTCTTAAAAGCCATGGGAGTTTTCTCCAGTACTCATCTACCTGACGGGCGTGGTAGAAGACTATGTACTGAACCAGCAGTCCTTACGCTGACTTCCCACGTGCGCGCGTACTCACCCTCCTGGGTGCTGAAGCTGGTCCACCCGGAAGCCCCACTGCCTGCATCATTGCGGGCCACCACTTGCACGTTGTAGTTGGTGTAAGGCTGCAGACCCACCAGGCAGGCTCTGCGTCTGCACTTTGTTTCCATGTGGCTGGGAGGACAGGGCGGTGCTGAATCAGCAGGGCAGGCCACGTGCAGGTGCAGCTCATAGCTGGAACCAGCCGGAACGGAGAGAAAACACCGGAAATACAACCGTTTGTCTATTACTTTTCCGCGGGCCACCACTTGCACGTTGTAGTTGGTGTACGGCTGCAGACCCACCAGGCGGGCTCTGCGTCTGCACTTTGTTTCCATGTGGCTGGGAGGACAGGGCAGTGCCGAATCAGCAGGGCAGGCCACGTGCAGGTGCAGCTCATAGCTGGAACCAGCCGGAACGGAGAGAAAACACCGGAAATACAACCGTTTGTCTATTACTTTTCCAAACTACCGATTTGTTTTTATGGAGTAGACATTCTGCTTCCACGGCACTACAAACTCTTTGTAAATTATATTTCCAAGAAACCCATATTATACTTCTGGAAACGAGCAATCCTCCGGATTATTTTGCACGAAGCACTTTATTCTTTGAGAGAGTGGCTCTTTCTGACATGTTAATTGCGGTCAGGGCAATTCCAAGAAAACCACTGACAGCTCTTTTGGTCTCGTTGATCCAGAGACTGGGAAGTTGGAAGTGGGGAGGGACTGCCTAGGGACTGGGTGGGTGTGGGTGAGAGGAAGCTTCCTCTACTTTTTGAGAACATTGAATACATTCAATGAGGTACTCACTCTTTGTTTAGTGAGTAATTTATTTTCTTCTAATTCATTTTTGGGTACAGGATATGGTTCCTCACACAGTCCAGACTGGCCTCTAGTGGGGGTGTAGGTCAATGAAACTTTCACTTTGTTACCTAGCTCAGCCTCCAGATTATTATGAGTTGTAGGTATGTCCAACCAGTGAATAAATTCCTTTTCCTTTGTTCATTTGTCTTTTCCTTTTTCTTTTTGGCACAAGAACTGATGATAGTGCCTTCAGGTATGTAAGTGCACCTGTGTTGTGCAACACCTGAGAAGGTCAGAAGAGGGTGTCGAATTCCCCTGGAACTGGAGTTTGGATAGTTGTTAGTCGCCATGTGCATTCTGGGAATTGAACCCAAGTCCTCTGCAAGAGCAGCCAGTACTCTTAACTGCTGAACCATCTCTGCAGCACCAAGTTGTCATTTTTTGTTAACAGAGATTAGTAGATATTTTTCTTGTTTAAGAGGAAAGTAAAGAATTGCTCTCTTTTACTTAGAATAAAGAAAATCCCTTTTCCTCCAGATTGTTTTGCAGGAAGCACTTCTTTGTTCTTTGGGAGAGTGGCTCTTTCTGACATGTTAATTGAGGTCAGGACAATTCCAAGCAGATCACTGAGGGCTCTTTTGCGCCAGCTGAGACCAGCAGAGCACATAGCTCCAGAGAACCACAGGGAGGCGCTTATTCTTTTAATGAATGCAAACAGGATGCCTGGTCTTTCTTAAAGAGGATTTCTTTGTTCGCCTTCCTCTCATCAGTTGGTTTTGTGATTAGAACACTTTAGTAACAGAACCACTCAAATGAATACACTTTCCTGTAGGCATGTGTTGTGTGAGTCCTGGGGACTGCTGGGTGACCTTGTGCCTCTGTGCCCAGCCTCTTTCCCACTGACCTTTGAATGACACCATTGGGGAACAGCGGGACAGTCCACCGGAGGGAGGCTGTCCTGGAGCCCGGTGTCTGGACCTGGGGCTGGGACAGTCCTGAGGGTGGGGCAGGGTGAAGCCTCAGCTGAGCTGTTGGCCCTCTGCTGCAGCAGCTGAAGCAGGTGCAGGCCTCGATCCCGATGGTGTAGGTGGTGAAGGGTCTAAGGTCATGGAGTGTCTGTTGGGTGGTCGAGCCTTCAGACAGCTGGAGGAGAGGGCAGATGACACAGTGTCAAAAGTCAGAGATGGCGCATCATCTGCTATGAACAAAGCCCCAGGCTAGGTACCCTAGGAGATATACAATGAGGCACTCAGCAGAGTGTTTATGACCAGTCTAGGTGGAGCGGCACTATAAGTGAGTGAAAAATGCTTCACGTGGTTACTGTCTGATAGAAGTTAGAGGTAACAGGAAAGAGGTGACCAGGTCCACTATTACCGTTACTTAACCTTGGAAAGATTAGACAGTGGTAGAGAACACACAGCTATGGGTTGAATTTAATGACTTTCAAAATGAAAAGGTTTTGCATCTTTGCAAAACAAAATGAAACAAAACCCAATTATGATCTGTATTGTTCACTGCTAACATTTACATTCTACTTCACCACAGTAAACTGCATAGTATTTACACACCAAAACTGCCCCAGGATCCACGTCAGAGGCAGGTACAGATATTTAGGCGTAAACCTTCTTCTGAGAGTGTTACTTTTTGCAAAACCAATGGTCTTTGTAGGACTACAAACGTTTTGATTTATTTGGAGCCATGTTTTGACCTCATTGTGGGTTCTTCATCTGGAAACGAAGAGTTAGAAGCTGGAAATTAATTTCCACGTCAACATAGGTAACATAATTAAGAGGGGCTACCTGTTATTTTTAACAATGCGCACAGTGCACTCTAAGTAGAAATTATTTGGGTTTATTAATATTATCATTTTGTAAGCATGGATAATCAAGGGCTGATTGTATTTACATCATCTATATTTATTGAATACGAAGCCCTGTAGAAAATATGTTAATATTCCTTTAGCATGCACCAGGAGCCTTGTTTGAATGTGGGTCGTCTTTGGAAATTGTATTTCAACACTGGACATACCGGCCTCAGAGGATTTCTATGTACTTGCCCAAATTGTCCCCTAAATTGCTGTAAATAATTTATAATGTAATACCTACTGGGATCTGCGCAATCTCTCCATAAGCTTATGTGAACAAAGTATTATAATCTCCACTTATTCATGAGCCACAGTGGAGTGAGAGGCACAAGCCATACTATAGATGCAAGAGAGGAGAGATGAGGGATCCCCTGCCCCTCGGTGTCTTCACTGGGCACTGGTGTTCCTGTTTGCAGTGGGTTCCTAGCCTCCCTCTGAGCACGAGGCTCAGCTAAATCACAGTGTGACTAAGATCTGATCTGCCCCACACTCTTTCCTGCCTCCTAACATGCCTCTGGAGACAGAGCAGTGCCCAAGGGCTCCTCTGCCTCTTTTGAGAAGAGAACATTCTGGAATTGAACAGAAAGTCTAGATTTTCCTTTTGTTAGAGATCTATGTGTGTCAAAATGGGGTTCCTAAAATTTTCTTTGCCGTCTTTTTTTAGTATTCACATTTACTTCCCAACCTTACCCTCCTTCAAGTGCCCTGCCTTCATTTTTCTAATGCGTTTGCTTATATGTCAAGTCGTTGATTTCTTACACTTACGGAATCTTCAGCACTATCCTTAGCATTTGGGAGATAATGTACGTGTTTTCCCTACATTTCCTAAAGGCTCACTTTGTCACCTTTAAGGGATTTTCTGTTCTCCAAATGGCAAGTGAGGGCAGGACAGGAAAAAGGAGGAGGGGGAGGAAGAACCAGAGCACCTCCAAGTGCTTTTAGGAAGAACAGTGCTGCTCACCACCACATGGGTTCCGCTGGAGTTGCAGAACAATCTGTAGAGTCCAACGTTCCCATCGGGCCTCTCGGGGGTGCTGATGTTGACCACCACTTGGGTGGAGGACACTGTGTGGGACGTGGGTGCTCTGAGACCTTCTGGGGGGGCCGGGTCGGTTCTACACCATGTCCAGTTGCTCTGTGCTTTTCCTGCAGAATTCACTGCCCAGACCTCCAAAGAGAATCAGCAAGACCAATCAAAATCAAGGTACACTCAGGCTGGGAACAAAATCAGCCCCCTAAAGCAACTAAGTTACAACAGAATGAGCTGGACTTTGACTTTGTGATTGGGTCACAAAGGATCATGGACCGAGCAGGGGACTCTGTAGGGTTTCAGAGATGCCAGGGGTACACTGCAACCCACTGAAACCTCTGAGGGGCGGTGGAGGGATTTTTGTCGGCTCCCTCAGATTGGATGGGTCTGTGGACTCTATAAAACTCAGCATTTCTTAAACACTGTCTCCAGTAAATCTGCATGAAAATTAAATTTCCTTTCATCAAGGAGGGAATAAACATATGGAGAGATGTATAATCTTATTTATCAAGAACCATTTGTATAATTAAACAGGAATCTCCTAAAAGGTCGCTTTTGGTCAACATTTGCATGAGTAAGTAATTTGTAGAATGTCAGGTACAATAGACCGAGTGGATGGATGTGCGAGTGGATAGGGTTAAATTAGGCCCAGTAATCGCCAACCACACAGTGATCAATCAGAATGATAGATCGAAATGGCAATACAGGAAGACTGTCAGTGTCTCAGAGCAGGAGCATCCCTTAGTAGCTCTCAAGTGCAACTCGAACTTTGGGAAAAATATTTTCTCATTGGATATCTTTTACTCCATATATTAAAAAAATACCATGAACTTTTAAAGACAAGTGTGGAAAACTTTGATTTTTTAGTATAGACTTTGCAGTTATGCAGCCTTAGAAAGCATGCAGAATCTTTAAAATATATATTTTTAAAGAAGCACCAGAATACTTTGAAGCAAGAGTTTAGTTTAGTTTTCCTTTTGCATCAATAATATCTTAAAGAAAAGAAATACCTAGACAGATCGCTAGCAGGCAGGCCAATTCCTGTCCATATTTGCATTCCTTTTTTTGTGTGTGGGGGGCACATTCCTTTGAAAAAGCAAATTTCTGAGATTGAATTGCTGTTAAATGTAAATTCCCAGCCCCTTGCTGATAGGATTGCCAGCAGCCCCATTTTCAAAAGAGAAAACTAACCCACTTCCTAGTGAAACCAGCTCTTTAAAGAGCTGTGCAATCTTTCCTGATTTGCATACAATCACTCATATTTGTGTAAACTTTCCATTTTGCAAAGTACTTTATAAAAATTGTTTTTGTGTGTATCATGTATGCATATGATGTATGTGTGCCATGTGTGCATGTGTATATGTATGTATGTATGTATGTATGTGTGTGTGAGGGCACAGGTGCTACAGGGCTAGAAGGTTTTGAGTTTGGGGACACTGAGGCAGATTATCTATCCTTTTGGATAAGAGACTTATAGAAGTTATTAGCACCATAGACAAATAGGCAGACAGCATAGTGGGGGCTCTGGAGAGCCCCATGTGGCAGAGTAGGGGGTCTTTTATATGTTTTCAGAGTTTTAGAACAGCAAGAAAGGCCTCTTGAGGAGAAGATTCCTGGTCAAGACCATAAAATCTCTGACCTGAATGGAGACGCAACATTGCAGTTTTGCTGGGTCAATCACCTGGCCTCAGGACCATCTCTAGGAAGGTGGATTCACCTTCAGCCATGCTAAAGAGAGACTAATGACATTCCTGCCAGGAATTCCCACCCCTGGTACATAGCTTAACTGGTATTGACAATGTAGCTTTTCAGTCTGCCAGCTTTCCTGAATTCTTCAGAAAAGCATAATATCACCTTTTTTTCTTCCTACCTCTGTTCTAAGCATGCTTTCCCTAACACTTTACGTTGACCCAACATTTCTGATGACTCATATATATATATAATATATAAAATTTTAATTTATTTATTATTTTTATTTTATGTGTATGAGTGTGTTGCCTGCATGTATGTCGGTGCACCCCTGTCGTGCAGTGCTGTGGAGGTCAGAAGAGGGCTTCGGATTCCACTGGAACTGGAGTTAAGGATGGTTTGTAGCCACCATATGGGTGCTGGGAATTGAACCTGGGTCCTCTGCAAGAGCAGCCAGTGCTCTTAACCACTGAGCCATCTCTCCAGCCCCTCTTTTAAAGTTCTCCTTCCTGTCATGTGTTTACTGCTGGTCTGACCCCATGTTGGCTTGAAATGGCATGGTTTTTCTTTTTTAAAAAGCTTTTCATTTGAGTCCATTCTTAAATTCTCTCTCTTTTTTTTTGAGACACTCCCTAACTCACACTCACTATGTAGACCAGGCTGTCCTCCATCTCACAGAGATTTGTTTTCTCCCTCCTAAATCCTGGGACTAAAGAAAGAAGTAGGCTACCATACCCAGCTTCAGTTATTTAATGAGACTAAGAATCACAAAGAGGACCCTGAGTTTTGTTGCAGAAACTTTTGGTAGTCAAGAGACCAGTAACCAAGTGAGGTGAAGGAAAGGGAGCTTATTTATGTCAGGGGGCTGACACCTGGATCAGTCCATAATGGCACCAGCCCTGAACTTAAGTTTGTAGGAAATTTGTAGTAAGTAAGCAAGTAGGGCATCCCAGAAGCGTGTATAGTGGTTGTTAAGCAAATGGTTACACACAGGACATCGTTACAAAAGAGCATAAGAATGTAGCACTTTGGCAAACACCGATTTCAGCGGTGGGTAGACCAGTAGTAAGCCCTAGGGGTGGGTGCAGAATCCTGCTTACTTTCCTCCTTTTTTTCTTATTTTTTCCTATCTCATCTTGGGGGCTTTCCAAGGTTCAAGATTCTTTGTAACCACTTCATTGTCAATAAATTTCCATTTGCCACCACAATTTTCCATGCCCCACAGTTAATGAGTAGCCCTACTTCACAGCGGCAGTTAGACACAGCCCTACTTCACAGCGGCAGTTAGACACAGTCCTACTTCACAGCGGCAGTTTGTGGTCTTTCTCCTGGATGGCAGGGAGAGGGGAACTGGCATTTCCAGGAAGGAATGTGTGACCTTGAGAATGCAGGATATGGGACTACTGAGGAGGGACCTAGACCTAGTTAATGTGTACCCACCATACAGAGTATGAGGCCTGTATGCAGAATCAGCTGGGGGTGGGGCCACAGCTTGCAGATGGATGTGGGCTAAGCTGGGTTCTAGAAGGTGTGCTTGTGGAGGTCAGAGGATAGTCCTTGTCTTTTACCTTGTTTTTGAGGCAGGGGCTTTCTTGTTTGCCACTGTGCTTCCTACTCTAGGCTAGCTGGCCTGTGAGCTTCACGGCTCTCCTGTCTGCACCTCCCACCTCAGACACACACCACTGCCTCTGAGTTTTTACATAAGTTCCAGGGATTCCCAACTTAAGTCATCAGGCCTAAGTTTTGCAGCAAGTGTTTTTACCTGCTGACTGTCTCTCTGGTCTCCACAAAACACTTTAAAAAATCATTATTATTATTTTCTCCTTTTCTTCTTCATGCTTTTCTTACTAAACATGCTTTCTCTAAGGCTTTGGGCTGCCGCTAGCATCTTGTATTTCTTCACTTTTTCTCTAAAGCTTCCTTCTCCCAGCCATGTGGCTGCGAGTCAGCCCAGTGTCTGACCACACAGGCTCTAAACCTGCCTGGCTTCATGATTTCCTTTCCTTCTTCCCACCATTCACCTCCTCAAGGCAGCTGACCAGCTTGCCTGCCCTGAGGGTTTTTCTTTAAGATTCTAACAAAATTGTAAAAGCTTCAAAAATTATTATTTATAATATATAATTAATATGCAATATATATTTATAATAATTATCTTAAAAAATTTTTATGTATATGAGTGTATTGTCTCATGTAGGTAAGTGCACCTGTGTTGTGCAATGCCCATGGAGGTCACAAGAGGGCGTCAGATCCCCTGGGACTGGAGTTACAGATGGTTGTTGGCTGCCATGTGGGTGCTAGGAAGTGAACCTGGGTCCTCTGCAAGAGCGGCCGGTGTTCTTAACTACTGAGCCATCTCTCAAGTCCCCCTGTAAAGCACTTTGACACATTTGTTTACCCTTCTTCACAAGAACAACTTTATAAAGTGAGTAAGGAATCTATTATTAGGCCCTTTATGTAGGTGAGAAAATTGAGGTCCAGGATATTTCACTGTTACTCAGTAGGAGAGAAATGAGGAGAGCCTAAATTGAAATTGTGCTTTTTCCAGGAAGCAGAGCTTTGGATTCTGTGGGTCACCCGTACATGCAAATAAGATGCTCTGGATCACAAAAACTGTACATCTTGCCCTTGGGCAAATACCTGCAGTTCTGGGTTCGGAAGGGCCTCTTAGCTTGCAAGGGTGACCAGACACAAAGAATAAATTGTCTCAAGTGTGAGCAGTTTTCATGACTAGCTAGGGAAGTGAGGAATAGGAAACAGTGTCTCCAGGACAGCTGAGTTTCAGCAAAGCTGGTACCCAGGTCAGGTGCAACAGGCTGTTCTCATCCCCTCTGAAGAGGCCAGGGTCAGGCTTATGATGGGGTGGAATCCAAGCTTACTGATGAAGGGATCAGATGTGAGACCTTATGAGGGAGGGTGCCCTGCCTGGCTCCATCAGCTGGTGACCATGGGATAGGATGCCTGTCCCTGCAGGTTGGGTGACAAAAATGGAAAAGATCTAGTTTTGAAAAAGACACAGCACAGAGGGCCAAGGTCAGTTTGAGATTCTTTCCCGAGAACAGGCTTTTGGGTGATCTCAGGCTATGTTCATGTTAATCGTGGTCACAGTGGAGGCAGAGAAAAGGGAAGGCTGTGGAATGAGGCACGAAGACAAATCCAGCCACCAGCCAACGTGCTCCTAGTGCCCCCAGCAGACAGCTGCCGTGCAGGCATGGGAGGCTGAGAGAAAAATGTGAACTCACAGTGAGCCATGTAAGTCACAGAAAGTGCTGGAGACAGTCTAGCCTAGCACTGGGAACATTTTTTTTATAAAAACATTTCTTAATTTTGGGGGCTGGAGAGACAGCTCAGCAATTAAGAGCACTGGCTGCTCTTGCAGAAGACCCGGGTTCGATTCCCAGCACCCACATGGTGGCTACGAACTGTCTGTACCTCCAGTTCCAGGGGATCTG